CGCTCTCTATCCTCCAACCAACACTGACTGCGACCTGCCCGAGAGGTAAGAGGAGAACCACCGTAGAACAGTGCCTCCCACTCCCACCTCTTCCAATCGTTGCAGAAGGATACCATGGTTGATCGTATCGAAGGCCGCTGAGAGGTCAAGAAGCACCAGGATAGAGGAATGTCCTCTATCCCTGGCCCGCCAGAGATCATCGGTCAGCGTGACCAAAGCAGTTTCGGTGGAGTAACCAGGCCTGAAACCCGACTGAAAGGGATCTAGATAATCTGCTTCATCTTAGACAATGGGAGAGAAGGAGAACTATTTAAGAGGATTGGCCGAGCAGTGCAAGCAGACAGAGAAGATCCAAGAGAGGAATATGAGAGACAAGCTAAGAAGTGGAAAATTAAAGCTTTAAATCGGATGAGAGATGAAGGATAAACAAGGGGAATATTTCTTAAAAGTAACAGTGAGATCAGTTAAAATAGGGCTGGAAATTAGAGAAAGGAGGATTGTAATATTTTTCAGATGAATTAATAATAAGGGGATCTAGGCTTTTAATGATGAAAATTTTGAATATGTCTGAATAAAAGGGTGATGGCTATAAAAATAACAAAATATTGAATAAGCAAAAGTTTGGAGATTATAACAATATAAATATGTGTATTATTAGTATAACTATGTAAATTTGTTAAAATATAACAAATGATTATCAACATTTTATGTGTAGTAAAAAGAATGATATATAGAATGATTGGCATAAAAATTGAACAAGATAATAATGAAAGATGATAATTTAACAAAATATGCAATTGTTGTTGTTATTATTATTATTATTATTATTATTAGAATTATATAACTTGTCAAATATAACTAAGATGAATATTGTTTTATTTGTTTTTGGGGTCAATTTCCAACAAAAAATATTTTCTCACTCAGATCACACTCCATTCACTTTCTATGCACCAGCACAGTCTTGGGTATTCAGGCTGTCTTTGGCTTCATGGCGATTATTTTTGGTTGCCCCTGCTCTTTATCTTTAGATGAGGGGCCTTTCTGAGTCAGGGAGGAGAGATGTGACTCTCCTCAACCTGCAGGGCAGTCCCCCTTTACTTCACCACTCCTCCAGAGTGGCTATGTTTCTATTTGAGCCCTCCAACAGAGAGAGCTCAGAATGGGACTGCGGGTGTCAGTCATGGTCCTTGCTTCTGAAGGCACCAGAAGTACAACCGGAAGTCCAAAAGGGGATATTTTTTAAATATAGCAGTGGCATAACTAAAAATAAGAAAGGGGAACAATGGAAGATTACAATTCAATGTAAATCTGTGTATTACTTTTAGAATTATATGTCTGTTAAACATAACAAATGTGATTATTGGTATTCTATCTGTAGTAAAAGGAGTGATATCAAGAATATGGAGATTGGCATAAAATATGGAGAATATGGAGATTGACATATACCAATATATGGAATAATTAAGGAAATATTATAATTCAACAGAATATGTGTATTACTACTAAAAGTCTATAAGATTCTTAATTGTGTTAAAGATGAAGAATATTGTTTTATTTGTACTAAAACTTTTTAAAAAGAGATTTCAGAAAGTTGGACTTAAAGTAAAGAAGGAGAAGTGCAAAATAGCAGTTGCACCGATCAATCTCCTCAGATACTTAATTGATGCATCCGGATTACACCCCCCAAAAGAGAAAATACAGGCAATTCATGAAGCGCCAACCCCTAGGAACAAGATGGAGCTCCAAGCATTCTTGGGCCTCCTTAACTTTTTACAGCTTATTTTTGCAGCATAAAGCATCCATCGCAGAACAGCTTCACCGACTGTTGGATCAGAAGGCAGTGTGGTCATGGGGGCACAAGCAGCAGTATTCAACAGAGTAAAAAAACTAATTTCCTTCGACAGTATCCTCAATACGAGAACTTGCCACTAGTTTTAACATGCGATGCATCGCTGTTCGGGGTTGGAACAGTTCTCAGCCATCGTTTTCCGGATGGATGGGAGACAACAATAGTGTTTTTCTCAAGAACTCTACCATCAGCAGAGCGGAATTAAAGCCAACTATACAAAGAAGCATTGACTACAGTCGCCGTGGTCAAGAGGTTCCATAAATACATACATAGATGACCAATTGAATTGGTGACTGACCACAAGCCGCTATTAGGACTAATTGCCGTGGACCATCAAACACCACCCAGTTCTATCTCCTTGGATGATGCAATGGACTGTGTTTCTGATGTCCTATGGCTACCAGTTCACACACCGACCCAGCAAGTCGCTGAGCCATGCCGATGCTCTCAGCCGATGCCCACTCCCCATCGCTGTAGAAGACCCAGCCCGCACATCAGCAGTGCTGGTGATTGAGACCTTGTCATCCAGCCCCATTACAGCAGCTGAGGTCGCCCACCATTCAAACAAGGACAGGACACTCAAACAGGTGTGGAGGGGATGGTCCAAGGAACCAATGAGCACAGAATTCAAGCCGTTTTATACCAGGCAACATGAATTGTCCATTGCCAACTCATAAAGCATTTGCATGTCTGTTATCGAGTTGCCATTGTGAAGAAAGGGAAGATCATATTCCACACATACCTTCAGCTAGAGTCGGATCTCTGATTACTACAGCAGGCTTGTGAGGCATACACCTCATTGGAGAATGTGTTTTGTGACACACACTGAGGGGAGGGGAGAAACAGGGACAAAGTTCAGCCGTAACTTAAGTGAGGTCAAATCTGACTGCAATGGGGTATTGCCAAAATGGTGTTCCTAATAAATGACTGGATTTTTTTTGGAAACTTGACTCGAGGATCATGAATTAATTAAGGCATCTTTTGGAAACCTGACAGCCATCTAGCAGGGCTGCTTACTCTGGGGAAACTGCATAGTGATTTCCATTAAACTAAGGCAATCCATCCTGGAATCATTGCATGATGGCCATACCAGAATCATGAAAATGAAGGCGCTGGCCCGCAGCTATGTATGGTGGCCCAACATGGACAATGCTATTGCCGAATGGGTTGCGTTGTGCCAAGCGTCAAGGCCAGCACCCCCAGCAGCACCAACATCGGAATGGGAAACACCCAAGACACTGTGGTCCAGGGTGTAGCATTTAGAGTCCCGAGGCTGAAGATGAAAAGAATGTAATCCGCTCACGGATAGCTGAATCAACCAAAGTTTATTGAACATCCAGAATTAACATGAGAATCAACAGCAAAATTATTAATCATGAAACATCATTCTTATAGTGTTTTCAGCTTCTTTGAGCTCTACCTACTTTACGTATTATATCATTATTGGCTAACAAGTCTCCAAGGCACAATAATTGGTTAGTCCTTACATCATTAGTGTCCGTGAGAACGTGCATGTTCTCACACACCGAATGAATCAAGTGTTATCAAATGAGTGAATGAAATGTTGCAGGTTATACTTTGTATCATCCCATGCCCTTGATGCCTGGGAACACTGCAAGCAAAGAATAGCTGACAGACAAATATTTTCTGCAGATTGCTGCAGTTTTTGCTTACACGTGTAACCTCAGTTCCAAGGACCATTCAAATGATTCACTGTAAAAACCCTACACCAGGGTCCATCTCTATTTTGTGGGACCATTCCATGGGTAGACCTTCCTCATAGTAGTTGATGCCTACTCAAAAAGGCTCGAGGTGACCCTGAGGTCACCCAAGCACCTGCTGTTCCCGCCAACTCTTTAAGAATGAGAGAAACCCCAAGTCGATGCACAACTGCCGCCAACCTCCATACATGGAAGACTATGCCTGTAGCGTAAGAACTGCAGACTGACAGCTTCTGCTAGGTGGGGAGGGGTATTGTGTATGTGCATGCGTGGTTGGAAGGTTTCACTCTGGTCTGTTCTGGGCATGGGAAAATACTTTGAATCTATTGGCTAATGGCTGACAGCCCTCTTTAAAGAGCGCTGCCAGCCTTTGCCTTTGCCTTTTGCTAGTATGTTGCTGTTATAGAGTTAATAAACATAACTTATTACATCTGCTGGCTTCGGCTCCATTCTTCACCCAAGATCTAACACAGCTGTTCCCTTCTTCTTCCAAGTGCAGAATGTGACCAGCCAGGGGTCCATTTCCTTCTTGGATGAGGCAGGTGTCAGGGTTCCAAGTAATACATCCCAGTTCAATAAGAGCTCCAAGGCAAGCAAGTTCTTTAAAGAACATTTTATTAGGATATATCAAATTGGCATATTCCTGGTGGAAAACTGGTACTAAGTTGGCACCGGTTTTTCCCCCAATTAAAAGTAAAACGTTATCACTTCCCCCAGAATCTCAGTCACATGGTCCAATCAGCATACAGCCCAGTTGTTAGATGACCTTAGGCTCCAATTTTATTTTGACTACAACAACCCAGCTAATCTCTAAACCCCCACCCTGGCCCCTTCAGTCCCCTGTCCTTACTACTTTCTATAGAGGGATGATCAAGAGCATCCTGTCAGATTGCATTACTGTCTGGTTTGGAAGCATTACTGTTTCAGACAGGAAGGAGGTGCAGAGAGTGGTAAGTATGGCAGAGAAGATTATTGGCAGCTCACTTCTTCTAGCCAGGACATAGCATATAGGCAATGCTTGTGTTCTCTGCAAATGGCTCTGCCTAAGCTGTGGAAAAATATTTTAGCTGGAGGACATCCTGATTGCCTTCTCTTGGTAGATGAGGCTGTTGATCTGAAGACTTGTCCCTGGGTCTCTTGCTTTCACTAGATCCTCTGCTGTACCCACTGTACACCTGTGGAGCTTCCTTCTCTGTTGCTTCAATAATGGATTATGAAAGGGGACTTCTAGATGACCTAGACCAGGATGTTGTCTTTCAGATGCAGTACCGGCAGCTGTTCCAAATGGTGATTGTATTAGGAATGAGTGGTACCCTCCTTATTGGCTTCCAGGTCTCTGTGATCACCTATCCATCCCAGGTAAGTGACGAAGCTTTTGCAATTCAGTATCTGCAATCCCAAAGCACAATATGGCCTCAAGGGAGTTAGAAAGGGCTCCATTAGGAGACAAGGTGTTCAATTTAGGCAGCTGAATACACAAATCCTGGCGTAGACAGCTTTCTAGCCACTCTTCTTTCTTCTTGGTGTCCTTCTCCAGCTGCACCCTGCTGCCGGAGTCATTCAACTGTTGCCTCTGTTGGGCGAAAGATCACTTCTCATGTCAGCACAATATATGCCACCCATCAGTCATCAGATCAGGGAGGCCTAGAGGTGACATCACATCATGCTTCCATGCATGCTTTCACATGACTTCTACCTGGGGCAGAGGGTAGAAACTTCTTTGTTTTTTATACAATTAATATCCTCCTGTGTGGTAGAAAGTTTGAACCCCATAGAATAACAGCTGGCCAGTCACCACTCTGATGAGTCCTAGCAACTGGTGACAGGATGCCTTCTTGTGGGCCAATGGGATTGAATTGTTGCTAGAATCTTCTCTCTTCATGGGCATTCAATGAGTCAGAGATACTGAAGGATTGGTGACACAAAACCCACGACAAATGTATTTGGTAACAGAACAATAGGTTCTGAGATGAGGCAGCCATATTTCTTCCCTACAGGTAATCTACAGGTAGTCCTTTACCTACAACCATTCAGTCAGCAAATGTTAGGGTTCCCCAATCCTCCCTATCTGTCTCTACTGCACCCACTGTGGCAGGCACTTGCCTAACTGTGGCAGGTGCCTGTGGGGAATCTGACAGGAAGCTGGGAGTTTCAGCTTCCTGACAGATTCCCCACAGACTTTCATGGTAGAAAGCCAGCAGGAAGTTGCTGTGGAAAGGAGATAACAATGGCTGCTGAGACTGCAGAGACTGCTGTCATTAAGGAATGCAGTTATACTTTATTGCTAATTGCTAATTGGTTTATATACTAATTGCTTAGCAACCAAAATTCTGATCCAAATTGTTGTTTTAAGTCGAGGACTACCTGTAGTGACAACAATATATTTGTGACTCTTATAGCCAGGAAATATAATAAAGCAAGTGTTGATGGAGTTTGGAATTCTCTTTATGGATATGATATTTTACCTTAGTTATGTGTGCACTTTTTCCACTTTGTTAGATAGTAGCAACTGTTATAATGGTTTCCACCAAGGTCCTCTGTTCCGGTGGGAACAGAGATTCAATCTCATTGGTCAAAGAGTCTGACAGCTCCCTATAAAAGGGCTGCTGTCAGACTGATCCTTCACTGGATTGTACATACTTGTTCTGTTACAATAAAGAGCTGTTGTTGCCTAAGCCTGAGTGTGCCTTTCCACTACCTGATCTAACACTGGCAACAAAGGTGGGATTGGAAGGCAACTAGGTGAACCAAAAAGAGCGTAGCAATCCATCAAGTAAATCCAGCCCAGAACTCAGTGCGGCTTCGAGCAACCATTTTTGAGTGGCAAACTCAAAACGCCCTCAGAACACAAAATGGCCATGTACACCCCACTGACTCTATACCACCCAGTCGGCGAGCACTGGGAATCACATATGCTGAGGTTCGACTGCTTCCTCGAAGCCAACAACCTCATGGGCCTTTCTGAAGGCTGCAAGAAGAACATGTTCCTGGGTTACTGTGGACGGGAAGTGTTTGAAACATCCAAAGATCTATCTGAGCCAACGCCACTCCAATTAGTCGCTTGGTCAGTGCTCCAACAGATGCTGAGGACACATTACGCTCCCAAGCCGTCTAAGCACGTCCGCCGGCACGAATTTAATATTCACAATCAGAAGGAAGGTGAATCGATCAACAAGTACGTTGTGGCATTAAGAAAGGCTGCAGAGTACTGCGAGTTCAGAGACCTAGACGAATTCATAGTAGACAATCATATGCGGTGTGTGGGACATTAATTTACAGAGGAGATTACTTGCCAAATCTAATCTCACTCTACAAATTGCTTTGGACGAGGCCTGGGCATCCGAATCTGCCATTAAGTCTACAGAAACTTTGCAGCGCCAAAACTCTCCACAAGATGCACGAAAGAGTGCACATGTACATCATGAGGATACAGAGGCCGAGGGCTCAGAAAGTGAAGATGACAGCTTCTGCATGCATAGTAGCTGCACCAAGCCAGCACGCAAATTCGAACAGCATTTCCTGCCTTGCGCAAGCTGTGGAGGAGACCATGCCAGATCATTTTGCCATTTCCGTGATGCCATATGCCAGCATTGTGAGAGAAAGGGGCACATCGCCAAGGTTTGCAGAAGCGAGCATCCCACAATGACCTGGAAGCCCAAAAGCTGACCTAACCACCAGCAGAGGCCCAACCAAGGGGCATGGCAGCCACCACCAAGGCACTCAGAGGGCGACACCAGAGTCACCTACCACACCTCAATCTACACAAGGTGGCCAAAAAAGCTGAAGGTCACAGTCCTCATTGAGGGCTCTCCATGCGTGATGGAGATTGACACAGGGTCATCACTGACTACACTCAATCACACCTCAATCTACACAAGGCGGCCAAAAAAGCTGAAGGTCACAGTCCTCATTGAGGGCTCTCCATGCGTGATGGAGATTGACACAGGGTCATCACTGACTACACTCAAGCAGGCTATCCCTAGCCTGAAGAAGCAGCATCTACGCGCCCCTGACATCCACCTTCGCGATTACCAGGGGAACCGAGTCTCCATCATGGGCCAGGGCACCTTCTGGGTGCAATTCAAAAACTTCAGCAGCCAGCTTCCAGTGTCAGTGGTCAGCTGTGACCTGCAGAGCCTCCTGGGGCTTGACTGGTTCAAAGCCCTGGGCCTAGAAGTGACCAGTATCAATGCCTTGAAAGACGAGAGCGCTGAAGAATTCTTTAAGGAGTTCTAGGATGTCTTCGGCACCAGTCTAGGTAAGTATGTGGGGACCCCAATCTCTTTTAATTTGGACCCCAACATACCCCCATCAGTCTAAAACCCAGGAGAGTACCTTTTGCTCTCCACCCTAAAATTGATCTGGAAATTGACACGCTCATAGGCCAGGGAATCCTAGAGCTGGTTGATCACGCACACTGGGAGACCCCTATAGTGACACCTGTCAAATCTGATGGGTCTGTCCGCATCTGCGCAGACTACAAGCGCACAACCAATAAAGCGTTACAACATTGTAAGCACCCATTGTACAGTATTTATTACATTCCTTAGGCCCCGGCAAAGTATTCGCTAAATTAGATATGGCACAGGCATACCAACAATTGCCTGTAGATGGCGCTACAGCAGAGGCCCAAACCATTGTGATGCACAAGGGTTCATTCAAATGTAACTGCTTGCAATTTGGAGTTAGTATCAACCCTGGACTGTTCCAAAGTATCATGGAATGGCTTTTGCAGGGGATTCCAGGAGTCGTCCCCTATTTTGACAACATCTTGGTATCGGCTGCAAATGAGGCGCAACTTTTCAAACGTTTAAGAACTATTTTGACGAGAATTAGAGACAAAGGCCTCCGTCTCAAAAACGAAAAATGCCAACTTAACGTGCCAAGGGTTGAATTCTTAGGGTACCTCATCGTCGACTCTTGGACTCACCCGACCACTAAAAAAATTAAAGCAATCCAGGACACCCCTACACCTCGCAATCAGACCGAGCTGCAGGCATTCCTCGGGCTCCTTAATTTCTGCAGCATCTTTCTTAGACAGAAAGCCGCTGTTGCTGAGCCCTTACATTGTCTACTGGCAAAGAACACAAAGTGGTCCTGGGGCAGAGCCGAAGCCACCATATTTGCTGCAGTAAAGAGACTATTGTCAGCAGACATGTTCCTGGTTCAGTACAGCCAGACCCTGCCACTTGTTTTAACTTGGGACGCTTCCCTGTTTGGCGTCAGAGCCGTCCTCAGCCACTGCATGCTCAATGGATCCGAGGCACCCATAGCTTATTACTCAAGGACCTTGTCCGCTGCTGAGCGGAACTACAGCCAGTTGGCCATGAGGCATTGGCTGCAGTGGCCGGTGTAAAAAGGTTCCATGAGTACCTTTACGGCCATGATTTTGAACTCATCATGAACCGCTACTGGGCTTGTTGGTTGAGGACCGACCTACTGTGTCATTATCGCCGCAAATGACTAGATGGACTATTTTCCTCATGGCCTACATCTATCTCCTTGTCCATCGACCTGGCTCAACCTTGGGGCATGCCTACACTTTGAGTAGCTGCCCTCTGTCAGAACTACTTACAGACCCTACCCCTGAGATGCCAGTCCTTCTTATTGACTGCTTAGAGACTGGTCCTGTCTGGTCTAATGACGTTGCCCACCACTCTGCAAGAGATTCCACGATCAATCATGTTTTCAATTGGGTGTAGAGGGGGTGGCCCAAGGGGCCTGTTGGGTCTGATTTCAAAATGTATTATTGTAAAAAAGATGAATTGTCTGTTATTAATGACTGTTTGCTGTGGGAGAACCGGGTCGTTGTTCCACCCAAACTGTGCATTGCAGTATTAGAGGCTTTACATGTAGGGCATCCTGGAATTGTCAGGATGCTAGGAGTTACGTGTGGTGGCCTAACATGGACAGGGAGATTGAAGAATGGGTGGCTACCTGCACACCGTGCCAGGAGTCCAGACCAGCTCCCCCAGAGGCAACCGCTAAGGAGTGGGAGCGACCTCAAGCACCATGGTCTAGGGTGCACATAGACTTTGCTGGCCCAGTTCATGGCCAGACATTCTTAGTAGTTGTGGACGCCTACTGGAAATGGCTAGAGGTAGTCCTCATGACCTCCACTACGGCAGAGGCGGTCATCAAGGTACTATGGAGACTTTTCTCCACACACGGCCTGACAGATGTCCTGATCTCTGACAACGAGCCCCAATTCATGGCCATGCAATTCAAGACCTACTTAGCAGCGCAGGGAATCAGACATGCCCTGGTCGCACCATTCCATCTGGCCTCCAATGATCAGGTAGAGAGAATGGTGAGATCTACAAAAGAGGCCCTATCCAGGATGGGCCCGGGAGATTGGCAAATGGGTTGATCATTATCTTCTAATTCAACACATCATGCCAAGTGCTACCATGGGGAGAAGCCCTTCTGAGCTTCTCATGGGTCGCCGGCTAAGGTCCCACTTAGACCGGCTACACCCAAACTATTCTGCCGCATCACCCCCAGATTGAACAGGCAAAATTTGGAATTTTAGCATAGGGGATTCAGTTTACGCCCACGGGAACTCTGTGGATTCTTGCCACAGTTGATAGGCATCACCGGGCCTCATTCTTATCTTGTAGAGCTTGAGGGTGGTCGGAATTGGAGAAGGCACATTGACCAACTCCATGGCCTCCTCTCCAATTCCACTTTTAGGCAGCCAGAGGTAACTGCTGCATGAGTTAGCCAAAGTCCTACCCAAAAGGAGCACAAAGTCACTCCTTCCACAGCCTACTCAAACCCGAAAACACCAGGATACTCATCTACTTGTGTTGCAGGTCTGCAGCGAGCTCCGAGCGAACCGGCTCTAGAAGCTCCAGCTCCAGCCTGTGAAGTTTCCAGGAGCTTCCACCAGGCGAAGCTGCAGAGCCAACAGGTCCATCCGACCTGTCCCAAGAACATCCTCCGACTGAATTGTGCAGGTGTGGCAGAGCTACCAAAAAGCCCGCCTATCTGCGTGACTATGTCACAAAGTTGATTCCATCTAAGAGCGGAGGGGCGTTAGATATTAGCAACTGTTATAATGGTTTCTACCAAGGTCCTCTGTTCTGGCGGGAACAGAGATTCAATCTCATTGGTCGAAAGGTCTGACAGCTCCCTATAAAAGGGCTGCTGTCAGACTGAACCTTCACTGGATTGTACATACTTGTTCTGTTACAATAAAGAATTGAATTTCCCCTACCCTTCAAGGTTCCTGTAACTTCAACACTTTTTATCATTTCATCTCTGTTAGTGAGAATTAGTCCAATATGGCTGACCCCTTAGATCTCTTCTCTACTTTTTGGAAGACAAAGTTGTCTGTTAGGTTTGTCAGGAATCTGTTTGCTCTTCCACTTGTTGCAGAGTTTGTCTCCCAGTTGATGTCAGGATAGTTAAAGTCCGTGAATACTATTGTGATGTGTTTCCTACATACCTTAGTTAACTGACTAACAAAAAGTGAATCTCTTTCCTCTGTTTGGTTGGGTGGTCTATAGTATACAATTTGGGTGGCCAATGGTAGTGTCATGTCCCCCCCCTTTTTTCCCAAATAGCCCAAATACATTCAAGATGGTTTACATCATTGTTCTGCTTCATTTCTGTAGTTATGAGTTGTTATAAGAGATGTAGTTATTTCTAATATAATGTATAGTACAATGATGGCTAACATTTTTGCCATCATGTGCCAAAAGCGTGGGGAATGGGGTTTGTGTGTGTCATTCACATGTGTGCCCACAACCATAATTCTATGTGCCCTCCCCCCACACACATGCACACATGACCCCCCCCCCTGCTCCAGAAAGTCAGAAACGGCCCATTTTCCAACTTCTGGTTTGCACATTGGGCTGTTTTTCACCCTCTGGAGACTTCAAGGAAGCCTCCTGAGGCCTCCGGAGGTTGAAGAATGGCCCAACATGCAAACTGGAAGTTTGGGAACAGACTTCAGGTTTGCCCATTGGGCCATTTTTCGCCCTCTGTAGGCTTCAGGGAAGCCATCTGAAGCCTCCAGAGGGCGAAAAATGGCCCAACACTCAAACCAGAAGTCAATTCCTGAACTTCTGGTTTGCATGTTAGGTGGTTTTTCACCTTCCAGAGGCTTCAGGAGGCTTCCCCGAAATCTCCGGAGGGTGGAAAAATGGCCGAAAATCATGGCCAAAATTAGCTGGCCAGTGCGCAGCAAGCTGACAAGACAATGCCTTGCATGCCCCCAGAAATTGCTCCGCATGCCACCTGTGGCACACATGCTATAGGTTCGCCATCACCTCCTTTTTTACTTGGTCAATTTCTTTTAAATAATTTAAATCCCTCTAGCTGCATATTCAATTCATGGGTTTCATACCACCTTAATGGCAACAATATCATATCTGCTCTCATTTAGTTGAATTTTTAGTTCACACTGGTTATTCCTCATACTTTGTGTGTTGGTGTATAGACATGTATAGTATGCTCAGGGACAATTTGGTCGAAGGCACTTGTCGTGTAGAATACAGAATAACAGAGTTGGAAGGGACCTTGAAGTCTAGTTCAATTCATATAATGTAAAAAACTGATTCAGATTGTGTTATGCTCCAAGATTTGCAATCAGACTGGTAGTTGTACACACTCTTGCTTTTCGTAGGATATCAAGAGTTTCATCAATGAGACGTGGCTGCAGCGACATGGTGTGTCTCTCCCGCCAGACAGGCTGGCTGTGCTGTGGTCCTTCATCATCTCCATCTACTGCCTGGGGGGTCTTCTGGGCTGTTTATGGAGTGGATCCCTGGCTGTGAGATATGGAAAGTATGGCTTTTCCTCAAGATGAAGTTTTCTTTTTTTTAAAAATAAAGTTTTTTATTTTTTTAATACAAATAACAAAGCTATGAACAAAGTGTTGTTCAGTTTTTTTTCCTTTTACATCCTCTTTTGTACATAATCCATTTTACATCATAATTCTATTTCCAATTTCAGCTCTATTATTCTCTTTCCATAGTTTCCATCTTAAACTTATTTTCTTATTACATAAACAATATCACTAATTGCCCCTTCAAAGTTATACCAAATTATCATTTCATGATTCTTTTTTTCATCTATTTTACCCTAGTGAAACCATCTAGCTATTTTTTTTATTTTTAGTTCCTTTTTCTTATATTTTGTTCTTCAATTAAGCCCTATTTTACTCTCTCTTCTCCATATAAATTTCTAGCTTATCCTTGCCCATCAAAGTTTCACACACATTTTTAACATCTCAAATAGTTCATTATACATCCATGCTACCAATTTAACAAATTAACATTTTTTTATCATTGTTCTGTTTCCATTTCTAACCCAATTTATTATCTTTCCATTTTTTCATCTTAAACTTATTTTCTTCTTAGTATAACAATATCCCGAATTTCCATTTCAAAATTAAACAAAATTAAACCAAATATCCTTTCTTCTTTCATCTGTTAGTCTATTTTACTACAAGCAACATACATCATCATTTCAATTTTCACACAGAGATCATTTAACTTAACCATGACTAATGTTATAAAATTCCCTTATATTTTAATTACCTACATATGATTAACAGTATTGATACAATTCCCTTTAATCTACTGATATATCCCTTTTCTCTGGGTCTTTCACAGATTCTATCACATTTCCCCGAAAATTATTTTGACCTCTGAAATAAGCGGTTGGCCTTATTTTCAGGGAGGTCTTATTATTTTTGAAGTGCAGGAGGCAGTGAGCATGGTCACCTCATGGCTGATGCTGTGTTGCAATATTTTTGGGAAGGGCTTATTTTCCAGGGAGGGCTTATTTTAGTGCATGTGCTCAAAAGCCCAATTCTTATTTTCGGGAAAACAGGGTATTCCTTTTTAATTTTCTTCTTTGCTCC